AACCAAAGCAATTCTGTCTGTTTACCAGGGCACTTGATTCCCTTACTCCTAGTCACATACAGGAGTTACAAACAATACTGTATTTTTATGAAGGCCTTCATATTCATGGCTTTTTCCTATCCTCTGAAGACAAATTCATCTCTCACAAGGTGCTAAAGTAAGGTTTAGTATCTGCTTGCACCAAGTCACAACACAGTCCTGCAGCTGCACCAGTGAACAGAACCATCCCTACCTTGTTTATGGTGGCCTCATCAGCTCCTTGACCTCTCAGCCAGTTGATGAGATCAGGGTCCTCAGTCCCTGTGCCAGTGGGATGACGATGAAAGGACAACCCAGGAATATCTAGAACAAGCATTTTTGAGAAAAGGTTTTGTGTTGCCAAAGCAACCTCTTGTCATTTTTGACTGCTGAAGCACTTCTTTTCAGTGAGCTTCAAGCTTACAATACCAGTATCCCCCTACAGAAAGATGTCAGCTCCCAAAGCATGCACTCAATTACAGTTGATAAACAATTACAGACCAGTTACTCTCCTTGGTTAGGGGTACAGTTAAAGTAGTGCAAATACTAATGTATCTGATATAGATACATTTTCTGTTCTCTTTGGAAAGTGACTCTGCCAGTACAAGTACATCAATTTCTCTGTAGCTGTGTTTACACTGAGTTTGTTGCAGCAATTTAACTGAGCTGCTCAGTGTAACTCATACAACTGGTGTGTAGGCAATGCCTTGGGCCAAGGAAAATCTGCTTTTGGAAAGTAGCACTTCTTTGAAGCACATTACACAAACATCAAACTGCATTAACAATTCCAGCTTCCTCAGGGCAGATACACATCAAACTCAACTCCCCTCTGTAAACCTGAAGTTGTATTTACATCTCACTGATTAGATCCTCCTTAACTTCCATTCTAACAACTGCAACAGTCTGTAATTCAACCAACACATACATAAACATACTAGATTATCCTCTTTAGAAATTATATATATTCTGTTGGATATGAGCCCTGTACTCTTCCATATAAACACAATCAAAAATATTTAAATTATATCATGGCTTGCACTGTGATTAACAAATACAGTAATTTGTTTCCACAATGCACACTCATACTTGAAAGCAAACCCTACCAGAAGCAGATAACAAAGCAGCTTCGCTGTGACTGGCCCAATAAAAAGAACAGAAGTTTAGCTGCCACTGTCTTAATCTGTAGCCAGTATGGAACGTCTCCTTGGAAACTACTCACCTATTGGCTGTGACCTCAGCTGGAGGTTTCTGATCTCTTGATCCTTCTCTTCTATAGCTTGATGTAAGAGGACTTGAAATTCTCTCTCCTTTTGAACCAACTCCTCCAATAACCTGTGAAGTAACAGGAAGGAAGCAAACATTTCCTTAGGTAGTTTCAAATGTTCAGGGAAGCAAGGATCTCACTACACTTACACTGGAAACCTTCTTGACAGAAATGACAGACTTCTTCAACTTTTATAGGAATATCCTCCCCCTACAGATTAATGACCTATTGTCCTGGTTTGAGCCAGGATGAAGCCAATTTTTCTTTTTACTGATTTTTTTTTTCCTTCAGTAAGCTTTCTTGTAGCTAGCAACAGTGTGTTCTGCTAGGCTGATAAGACACTGGAATGTTTTTCTAACTACTGAGGCTTCAAGGCCGCACCTGCACTCTGCCGGCTCAGACACTATGGGGAGATCTGTGACCCCCCCGTAGGAGGCTGAGTTAGACAGACAGCAAAATTGGCCAAAGATATTCCATTCCATATATCTACGTAAGCTCAGAGGAAGGTCAGAGATCACAGAAAACAACTTCCTTCCTTCTTTTTCTCCCCTTCTCTTCTGTCCATGGCCGGCCTCCAGGGAGGACTCTGTTCATCCATCACCGTCGATCCTCAGGCTTGGTCTCTCCTGACCCCCATAACTCTCTGCTCTCTCCAGCAGCAGCTCCGGGATTCCTCGGGACTCTTCCCAGTTCAGGGAAGTGCTGTGGGAGTTGCTGGGGGGGGGGGAGGCGAGAGGCTTTTGCCCATACCTGAATCTATCTGTATATAATTGTATATATTTTTCTGGTATCATTCATTAGTGTTTTAATTAAAGCTGTGTAGTTTAGTTTTCAATCCAGCCAAGTCTCTCTCTTTTTCTCTCTCTCCTTCCCTACCTGGGTTGGGGGGAGGGGGGATCGAGAGCATTGTTGTCGGACCTAAGTCAAACTGTGACACCTATATCAAGACAAACATTCACTGGTTCCTAAACCTATAGCTCTTTAAAAAAGAAAAGAGACCCACAGCCATCAGCCTCCCTGCACACATCCACCCCCTGAACAGGTGGCATGGTACAGAACTTCAGCCAGCATTCTGTTTTAAACAAAACCGTGTCACCGAGAACAACAAATGCAAAAGTGTTTCATAAATCAAGGGCTAAACTGTGTGACATAATCCTTTCCAAGGAAAAATGCTAGTCCACTTCACCAGAGGATGGAGCTGTATGAAACTGTTGTGAAAACTTAGGGTTGTGTTTTTTGCATGGGGAAAACTTGTTCTCATCCACACGAGGGCTGTCCCCTCTTCCTCACATGCCAGGCACTTTGTGCCCACCTTCTTGTGCCATATGAAGCATGAGGAAAGAGGAGGCAAAATATGTTGTGTTCTCTTCTAAGCAATTTCTTTTGAGAACATCAAGCAGAAACAAATTTGAACCCATGTCAGGCCTCCTTCATAACACAAACCCAGAGAGATTCAGTGGTCAGCACCTTTCAAACTGGTCAAAGGAAAATAATCAGAATATAGAGGAAAATGAGTATGTGAAACTGCTGCAATTTGTTCCTTTACAAAGGCGTTTTAGTAACAAGTATTTGCGGACAATACATATTCAGGAATTTGGTCAGAGAAATTGGACGTGGAGAAGACACTCATAAACCTATCACTGACTTTGGAGTCTTGGGAAGTTATTCCTCACAAGAATTGTTGCCCCTTCATCCCTTCCTTTAAGTCTCTGTCAGCCTCAGAATCAGGTCATAACTGTTTCACTTTTTTATCATTTTGTTTTGGCGTTTGTTCTTGTTTTTTTTTTTTTTGTTGGTTTTCTTTTTCATGTTATTGTTCATACCAGTTGAGCACTGCAACTTTTTTTCTGGGACACTAAAAGAGAGGGACATTCTGGAATTTCAGCTAGAGAATGGGCCACAAAAGCACCTTACCTGTCTTTGCAGAGAAGTAAACTCATACAATTAATACAAGAAGCATCTCCTACGACTGCTTTGTGAAAACATCAATCCCTGCTGCCAGCTTGCACACAGGCCTACCAGGAGCACAGCTGCACTGGAGAACTTCCACTCCTGAGCTGAGCAGCCCACCCTGCAGCAGCAGACCTGCTCTGTGCTACACACACAGCTTGGTTCATCTCCATGCAGACTGACCTTCTGCCCAGACAGGTGTGCAGTCAGCTTGCAGCCAATTTATTCCTCCTCTACCCATTCTGGTTGAAAAAGGCCTTCAGGGTCAATAAAATAATTAACTATTTTCACTTGATAACAGCTTGCTGTTTATGCCAATAAAGCTTTAATTAAGACTTGAACTGTCCATATTATTTACATCAACATTTCTGCATGAATGACAGGATGTCATTACTTGGCCAAAGGCTTTGCCTTTGAGTGATTCAGAATAGCAAAGTGAGAGAAAACAGCACCTCTCCAAATGGATCACTTCTGATGCTGCTCCCCATTATAAACTTGGGAAGTAATCCAATCTAAATGATGTGTGCATTTATTTAAGGGTATCAATAAGGCAATCGAAATGTGTCTCAGTGGTCGTTACAAGCAAATAGAAGAATTGTAACCTAAATAAAAAACAGCAATACTTCATTAAAAACAGTACAGTTTAATAAATTACTCTAATTATGGCAAAAGTCTTGGACATGTTTAAAAGTGAAGTGCAATTTAACATTTTTATTAAATTGGAAAAAGAACTAGAAAACTTTCTAGCAGCCTAACAACTGTCTTTTTCTATGTTCTCTTTCTATCAAGATCACACTCCAAATTTACAGAATTTAGTCAGAAATCCAATGTCATAAAATCAGATGCTGCAAAAGCTTTAAACAGACTGTCTGGTATATTTTAATGAAAAGAAAAAAACAGAGAGAGAAATATTTGGACAAAACAGTGGAGATGGATTTGTCTCTGCCATTTCCTAAACAAACAAAAATCCATGTGTATTTCTGACAAAAACCTAATATCCAAATTTCTGGCTCATTTCTTCTTTTTTTACACAACAAACCTATTTTCCCCAACTTTCTCTGATTACCTTTTTATTCAATGAATGTTGTTAATGTTTGCTGGTAAGCACAGAACCTGCTGCACAACATTCATTGAATAAAAAGGTAATGTTTGCTGGTAAGCACAGAACCTGCTGCAGTGAATTCTATGCACAAAACAAGTCTGAAGCAGTTTCCTTGTGGAGCTCCTATGTGGCTGTCAACTAGCTTGAGTTCACTCCCCAAGAATAACTACAGAAAAGAACAGCAAGTTCTGCCTTAATGGAAACAAAACATCACACCACTCATCAGCCACACACAGCATATGAAGGGGAGAAAAAGCAGAACCTTGGCAGCAAGCTCAGTTTTTTCAGACCTTCCGTGAAAGGGCACCTGAAATCCAGGCTGACCTTAAGTTGCATCACTAATGTTCTTAAATGAATAAAACTATTATAAGTGATCAGTCACAGCTAAACAATTACTATCATTTAAATTAACAAGTTGCAGTCCTGTGGAATTTTGATACTGTCACTATTATTCTAGCACCTCTATTTTAAGCAAAACAATACATACTGTCACAAGTAGGTTAGTGTCTCCTGATATCCAGACTTACCTGTTTGTCTCTAATTTTAGCCTGCCCAGCTGGACACTCAGTGACCTGTGAGCAGCCTGGGAGTCATGGGACACTGTGGAGCTGAGTGTGCTCACACCTGAGGTAGCTACTGCATCCTCCATGACAATGCAGGGCTGCTGGATGGTCTGGCTCTGAGGCTGCTCATCTTGGTCTTCTTCAACTTCTATATCATCTTGATCTGCTGTATCACTTTCAGATGCAAGACTAAAATGTGGCCTCAATTCTATTAGTAATAATAAAATATAAGCAAAAGAAAAAAAAACATTAAAGATGTTTAGCAGTAAAACAAAAGCAGACCTGTTTACAGATCATCCTACAGCTTCAGTTAAATCAGACTTGAAGTTTCTGTAGCTAGAAAACCGACGCTATTTTCTAGGGGTTTAAGGCCACTCAGACCACAGAAGCATCTTAGTTTATGCTGATTATCATAGAATCATAGAATCCTAGGGGTTGGAAGGGACCTCGAAAGATCATCTAGTCCAACCCCCCTGCCAGAGCAGGGTCACCTAGAGTACATCACACAGGAACGCATCCAGGTGGGTTTGAATGTCTCCAGTGAAGGAGACTCCACAACCTCCCTGGGCAGCCTGTTCCAGGGCTCTGTCACTCTCACAGTAAAAAATTTTTTCCGGATATTCACCTTGAACCTCCTATGCTCCTTTAGACAGCTTCTGACCAGGAACCAGAGAGACTTTTGAGTTCTCAAAAAGCACACTGTTAATCTGTAAAACACCTTCCCAAACTGGCACGTGCTGGCAAGTGGTCTGCTCTTCGGATTTCAAGAGGCAACACTGTGCACCTCAAAGACATGAGGCCCCAGAGCACCTCAGCCTGTCATAGCTCACTGTTTGGCAGAATTGTTCAGATGCTGCATCTCAGAAAGGTGCTTTTCAGAATGACTTGGGCAATACCCTGGTTAGTTATTGAGTTACAAAACAGACAGTGAACAGGAAAAAGGCCACTGCTGCTTTCAAATCTGAAGTGAAGCATCACAATCACAGCTCTAAAGCATGTTTCAAGAGATCAGTCAGTATTTGCTGAGTATTAAGAGCTGACTCACCTGGGACCAGAATAGTGATAGCAGTCTGCACAGCTTTCCTGATGATGCTATCCAGTGCAAACATCCAGTGTGGCTTGATGTTGTGGTTTCGGAGAACTTTATTGACCTAGCAACAGAGAAGTCAGTTCAGACGTTACATCCCCCTGACCTCACTACTACAATATATGTCAGCATTATATAAAGTGTTTGAACTTAAGAGAGGTTGCATCCAAGCAGGTGATTAAAGCTATTCCATATTGTCACTAAATTAACCAAAGAGCAATATTGCCAACCGGCACCAGTTTACTACAAGTCATGCCATATTGTGTGCTTGATAAAAATACTAGTTCCTGTGTGAGGTGATTTTTTATGACAGTGATACCAAAGCTCATTTAAATTTGATGGGTGTGGAGAAAAACTTAAAAAGAATGCAAGTAAGTCAAATACCAAGGGCCATATTATGGACTTGTAACTTCACCTAGTTCATCTTGGGGTTTTTTGCCTAATTTTCACCACTTGTTCTAAGCAATACTTATCTATTTAGAAACACAACTGTAGGAAATATTAAAGAACTAATGTAATGCTGTTCCTTCTTGATTCACAAAATAGTTAATTAGTCAGGGTACTTCATTCATATGCTGTGCCATTTTTTTTTTTCCTTCCTTCCACTTTTTACTTTATACAGTGAGATAGATCTCTATACTGTTTTGCTCCCAATTCCAGTCAAGTGCTTTCCAACCACTTCCATCATGTTCCCAGATGCCCCTCTGGATGCTCCACAGCTCTTGCAGAAATGTCTCTACACAGGGAAACTGTTTTCCAACTGACAGAGAAGCAGCAGGTGCTACAGCAGAACACTTAACCACAGCAAGAAGCAACAACACAGACCAGACTCGGGGCTGCTTTCCAGGCATGGAAGCTTTCCAGGCTCTGTAGGAGCAGAATTTGCAGGAAGATACAAAAATAACTGAATTTTGAAAATTATGAAGCTACTCAAAGCCTTATCAAAAAAGTAGCAACTACTGCTTACTAAAAGATGTGGCAAGAACGTACTTCACTCAGCGCCTCCTAAAAAAAGGGTTGGTTTAATTCTCTCACATTGTGATAACTTCTGTAAAAAATAACTGAAGTTACACAAATGATGCCTTCAGAAGATATGCAAGAGCTATTAAATGTTCATAATCACATCATTATCATTGCCCCAAAGCAACAGTATTCAGTAATGCAGTCATTTGTGTAGGTACTGGCTTGGCTGGGAGGGAGTTAATTTCCCCACAGCAGCCCCCCCGGTGCTGTGCTTCAGACTGGTGACTAAAACAGCCTTGGTAACACACCCGTGTTGCAGGTTTTGCCCAGCAGAGCCTGCACAGTGTCAAGGCCTCTCCATTCCTGCATCACTTGTCAAGTTTGCTTGCTTGGTTTCTTCCACCTTCTCTCTTCCACCCGACCCACAACTTGTCTCACTCCTTGCCCACCCGATGCCCTTCCCCACGCAGCTGGGGGGACTGAACCAGGCACCCGAGAGGCTTCCCCATCCCTGCCAGCCCATGCCTCCTCATTTCTGTTCCCAGCGGCCACCAGATGGCACCGGGACACTGTGCCTGGCGCTGGGGACACCGAGCCTGGCAAGCTCTGCCCCTTCCCACTGCCAATCCCACCCCGTGGGGTGTGCTGGGCCAAGTGCAGCCTCCCCAGAGTACTCTGAGAGAGCACGTGTGAAGAACAAACAATCTGCAGTGATGGGATTTACCTTTTCACATTACAGCACAAAACTACTTTTTCTTGGTTGCTCCAAAGTGGGTCTTGTGATTATCAAACCTTGTTGTCTGAGATCACCTTGCTAAGTCCTGAGAACAAGGGAACTACCTGCCCCCTCTTCTAGCAATTTCCCAGTCTCTGCAGCACCTGAGGTCCTGATACTGACCTGGATTTCATTGCTCTACAACAGAAACCTAATATGCCCAAAAGAACTAAAACCGGGCACACGTAAAGCAAAGTTTTCTTTGAACTTACTGCAGGTTATTTAGTTCAATAATAGAGATAGTAATGAAAGAGACATTTATCAATTAAACACAGCAATTTGTAAGTTAATAGAAGTCAAACTGTAGTTAAAAGAAGAGGTTAAGGCTTTTATTGAGAAAGAACGTGATTCAAGCAATTACCACCGAACAACTGATGTCCAGCAACATCTCCATCAGAAATTCTACCCAGACAACCATACTTTCACCCCTCCATTTTGTTCTTCACCTTGTAGATTTGGTTATTTTCCTCCAAGTGTCAAATGAGTACTAGCATGAGGCTAAGTGGAATGGAGAGCTGAAGTGAACTCAAAATGAAGATTCAGAGAGAAGACTCAAAGAGAAATCTCATTTGTGGAAACCTCTCTGCTACCAGTTTCTTTCACACATTAGTTGCTTCGGGTTTTTTTGCAAACAGCATCTTATTCTTTTCAGTGTAGTCTATGCAACAAACAGTTTACATGCTATGCAGTCCTTCCTGACAGCTCATTTATTTACTTGTCAGACAGCCCCAGGTTTAGATACTCATAGAATCATCCACCTCAAATGCTTACTTGGACTGTAATTTAATTTTTACTACATGACTTCTATCTGGTCCAGTGATGCCCAGCACAGCTGCATCCTCCCACGTTAGTTATTCATCTTAATTACTAAGCCTAACTGCTTGTCAACTAGCATTCAAATACATAGCTTAAGAAGAAAAAAACATTTGCTTTTGGTAAACTAGCTATTTAAAAGATATCACACACACGTGTGTGTGCTTGGTTGCTCTGTAGGAAATAATATTTTGCATTAATTACTGACAGAAAAGTAACCTGTTTTTCTTCCTTCTTATCCTGACTATAAATTTAAATGAAAATGTCTTGCTTGGCAGAAATTGGCTACTAACCAAAAAAGCTAGAATGAGAACTCAGTGCAACATTATAAGGTAGACAGACTACTACTGGGGGCATAGAGGGCTTTAATGTATTCTTTTATAAGAGAAGCCAAGTTCAAGAGATCTGCATTTATGTAGGATGTGACATTCAGCGTTGATCTTATACCATAAAACCCTTCAAAATAACAAGGCTTTCCTGCTTTTGCATTATGACATAGTGTTCACATAACTATGCTGTACCTGCTAGGTCTTTAATCAGTAAATCTCACCAGTTGTGTGCAGGGTCTTCTGAGTCCTGCCAAAGGATCATACCATAACCCAACCAAGGCATGTTTGTGGGCTGGGTGTTTGTTATTACAGGTTTGAAGCCCTCAAATATTATTCTTTCAGTAACTTGGATAGAAGTTACTGAAGTTCTGTTTGCATCTAGCTTCTAGCGTTTTTTGTTGTGGATGTCAGTTTTGGTGTGCAAAGTCGTTAGTAAAAATGACGACTTACAGCATCTTGGAACCCAAACAGCACGAGCTGCACTTGGCTGATGCCATGGCTGTCAAAGTCTAACTCCAGTTTCAGCTTTGAGAGGGTGGTTGCAATGATCTTACGATCAGTGGAGCGCACAAACTCTCTGAGGCTGGACACCAGCGTTGTGATATGTTCCCATTTCAGCTTGGGCTCTTCTGCTCCCTGCTAGAAAAGAGAAGAAAATAAATAGTTTTGATAGCCATCTTTTGACATGTACACCCAGAGGGACCTCAGCCATCAAAGTCAGTTGGCAACATGGATTTTCTGAAGCTCTGCTGCTAGGGGTAAGGGCAGATGCAGCTGCAGCCCGGGCAAAGGCAGCAGCCCAACTACAGCAGCACAGAGCTCTGCCATGGGGCTCCCTGCTAGGGCAGATCACCTGAAGAGCAAGAAGCAGACTCTGTCTGGCAGCAGGTGCTGAGCAGACATGCACACTGCAGGTCTGCGTGTCTCATTGCACAGAAGCAAAAAATAGGAATAAATGTACTGTACACAGAATACTACCCACTCTTACTTGCAAACACACACCCACACATTTTGCAGTGCCTCTAGTTTCAGAGTGCCTCTGAGAGACAACATGCAAATTCCCTCAGCAGCACTTCAGAGAAGGGATTAGTCAAAGTTACATAGAAGGCTCAGAAAGAGACTCAGAAAGAGACTTTTTTCTGACATAACTTCTCTTGACATAGAACTTTTGTCTGTTCTTAGAGCAGGTCTGCCCATCTGTCACCTTTCTAATATAAATATTCATATGCCTATTTTTTAAAGGTTTTGTGGTTTTGCATGACCTACCAATGTAGTGAAAAGCTCAAACACATTCATCAGAACAACCAGTGTAACTGGGAAGCAGAACATTGTATTTACTCTCAAAACTAGTGTTATGTCAACTGAATACAAATTTCAATTTGAAGTCTTAAAATTAAGCCAGAGATTGGAAACCCTACTAGTTGTCCAACACAAAGTATTAGATGCTCATTCTGAAGGAAGTTTACTATTTATATAGAATAATGATCTCTAACGTAGTTTTCTGTAACAGAAGGACATAAGATGTTTGGTTCTGTTGTATTTTCCATGAATGTTGTAGCTGGCCAGAAATCAGGAACCCTGCTTGCCAACAACACGGAGGTTTTAACTACAGGTAATTAATTCTGATTAGGAGAAACAAAGATAACCTCCTTATTTGGGAGAAACTACAAAAATAAAAAAGAACAAGCTCTAGAGCAGTCAAGCATTCATTCTCATGACTAAAGCACTCATCTCTGAGATAAAAGATCCTAGCCCCTGATCCTGGTCCTCTTTGATTTGGAGAATTCACCCCATGAGCTGCTATATGGAAGTGGGTCCCTCACTCCGCCCTGCAGTGGCTGATCTCCTTTCTGTGTAAACAATTCAGAAGTCATTAGGGCAGACAGATGGACACACAACCCCCTGCAGCCCTGGGCTAGAAATCTATCGAGGCATGCCTGGGACAGGGCAACCAGCATAGCTTGCCAGTAAGGAACAGTGACATGTTTTGGGACAGTCATTCTCCTTCCCCAGACCCCACACCCAATTACTTGGTTGAAATTGTCCTTATGAAATGTTTTTTGTGAACAAAAAGGAGTATCAAAGCCTAAATTCTGATGAGGCCTAACATGCAATGTCTCTGCTGACAACATGCATTTAAGCAGGACATAACAAGAAGCCAACCCCTTGACCTTTCTGGTGGTTTGACTAAGTTTCCCCCTCCCTGACCTGGGTCACTCTCTCAAAGGAGGAGACTGTGGGAGTCATAATTCTGCCTCCTCTTGAAGGGCAGACAGTCCTATGCACCTGTGCTCTAAAACTGTGCGTTTCTGCTCCTAACTGGCCTGTTCCAGCCCAGCTGAGCAAGGCATGAAAGACCCAGCACCCTCTCTGCATCTTGGGTTCCAGCCTCACACAAGGATGATGATTCTTTCATACCCATGCTAGCAACTGTGTTACAGCAACATCTCGCAAAGCACAGTCTCTCTTACTGCCTTCTATTTTAACAACTTCCTATGGTTACCAGGACAACTTTGGGTTATACTCTCTCCACACCAAGAGTTAGAAGCTCTTTTTATTGGTATGGAAGCAAATTCCAATTACATCAACCGTGGTACAGGCACAAGAAGCAGATTGGCTTGCATCAGTTTCTAAACAGTACTATCTTTAGAGGATGAGTTGTCACATTTTATAAACATGTTTTAGAGCAGGAACATTAACCTTGAGTACAAAGTGAGTCAATTAAGTACTAAGACACACATTACAAACATGAACAAAAAATCATGTCATCCAGTTATGGTGTTGCAACATTTAGTAGCATGGTCATGAGGTAATTTATTCAGTGTCACCATGAACTGACACAACATACTGAATCATCCCCACAAAGGAGTGCCAAAAGGTCACTCTGCAATGACTGTGTTATTTGCTGCAGCTCCCACTGTTACTCCATTTTCCTTCCCCTCCATATGTGCTCCCAGCTGCTCTGAGGAATAGCTGCAATATATCTTCTCCTCAACCCCCTTTTCCCCTTTTTATGGCTCTTCACTGGAGGGCAATGCTGGACTAGGCAGTCCTGTTTTTTCTACCATAACCTGACATCAGGCCAGAGCAGGACAGAAGACCTGAACCTCCCTTCATCCAACAGTCAGCCAGAAGACAGAACTCTGAAAAGGCAGCCAAGTAACCACCTCCTGGGGATGTTCTATGTCACAAAAGTTGACCTGACAGCCTCAGTTAATCCCATTTGAAAAAAAAAAACCCAACTAAACATATTATCATGAAAATATGTACTTCTTGTCTGGCCAACCCTAATACCCAGGTATACATACAGCATTGACAAATAACCAAAAGGCATATTTAATGCAGCATAAACAATTTTAAAGACTATTTTTAATAGCCCAAATAAAACAATAAACCATGAAAGCTTACACTGTCTATGCTTTCTAATGTAATCAAGCTTTATTTTGTAATCAAGCTTTATTTTTAAATTGCTTTACTATGTGTAATTTCAGAAGTTTCAGGTAATTGCAGATAAGTCTTCAAATTGCACAAAATTTTTGCTGCCTTACCTGAGCCAATGCTTCCATCAAGTTCCTCACCACCTTCTCTTGGTCCTCAGTTAATATCCTGTGAAGAGTGGCTCTCCTTTCACTGTCCTTCTTCAACATGAAAAATCCAGAATCTTTCTCTTCAGGTGAGGGAGGTGCACTGTGATCCTCAAAATTTTCATCCGGGATGCTGAATGAAAAACACTCAGTGAAAAGAAACTTTACAAAAAACACCCCAATGTCCACATTCCTAACCAACTGCGTGACATAAATGCCAGAGAGCTCTTTACCTTAGAAAAAGGGATCGGATTCCCTTCCCATCTTTGTCTCCACAGGATTTGGCTCTTGTTTTGAAAGAGAATGGATCAATTTTTAATTCTGTATCAGGAGAGACAGAACCATATTCACTGCTGCTACTTGTATCTTCCACCAGAACAGGGACAGGTAAGGAAATACTCCGAAGATACTCTGTTTGTATAAGGATATTAAAAAATTAGAATTTAATAGTGCCACCACAGTTCTGAAGTGAAAAGTTTATTCGCTAAGAGGAAACAAAGACTCAGTCTTCCTCCACGCCAATACAAAATACTAAAACGAAACTGACAAGGAACTCCTAAAGCTTATCCTCCTGGAATAGAGTTATCTTTGAGTTATGTTTTTATTCAAAAGCTTCTTGAGACTTGGAAAAGCTGGGCTGTTTGCAAGTTCCCTTATGTCACCACTGGAGCGAATGGGCATCTCACACCACCAGGACACGCTCCCAGCACTAGCACAATGCTCCTACAGGGTCATTCAAGCACCTTCCAAGATATTCATTTTATGTGTGTACATAAATATGTATCTTTATGTATACAATACATGTAGGTACATGTATACTATAACACATAAGATAGACTTCTTTATCAAATTGTTTTGTACAAGTTCAATTAGTTCGTAGTCTTTGATTAATAATAAATGTGCATGTTAAGTCATAACTTCCATTTTTAAATCCACAGCACCCATTACTGCTGCAATGAACTATTCACACACATCTCAGGTGTGCACATTTCAAATCGTCCTTTGATAGCAATTCAGCATGAATGTAATCATGTGTTTGTTTGGTTCATGCCCCCCTTGCTCTCCTCAGTTCATCTCCTCAGAGATGACTACCCTGTACCCAGGCCTGACAGTGTCTCAAATACATGTCACTTTTTTCAATGACAGATTTAGCCTAACAAAAATCAGTTCTCTTTCTCCACAAACCTTGGCCCTATTGCTACCATAAAAGAGGGATTTGGGTTCCTGTTCAGATTTCCACTAAATGACCCTAAAACAACAATGCAGCTCTTCAAGCCTGTACGACCCACTTGCCTAGACAATTAAGCCACAGTCAGGTGGGATTACAAATAGCAGTTGAAATTTCCACAATGAATTAGAGGTTCCTAACAGAGAAAGGTCGCTTATTTTCACAATGGTGTCCGTTTCTCTTTGCAGCATTTTAGTGTGACACATCACACCAGGGTGAGTGATAACCACATTATCTGCACAGTCATGTTTTGATAGAGAAGTTATGTTGAAACTCACCATTTGTGTTCGCTGAAAGGACTGTGGGAGACAAGCAAAGAAAAAACAAAGTGAAATGTGCTGAAATTAACTGAGAAAACAAGCACAGTCTGAAGGATAACTCTCTTCCTATTTGTATGGACTATCTGTACTCTCCTGACTGCAATCTCTAGAAGTGTAATTTATTGTGATTTCGAGTTAATTTTAGCCAGGGGGAGGGGGATGGAATGTATGCTCAAATGTCCAATGTTGCTCATCCCCTTTTACCTGGTATTTTTATTTCTTGTAGGTATCATGCTAAAAGACGTTTTCAAATGTCTATATGCATACACATAGAATATGTCATTTGTAGTCTCACAACTCCTCAGTTACTTTCCGTAACTTAGAACACCAAAGAAGACGAGTACATGAAACAAAAATAATGCAGCTTATGCACGTTTGCTATGGGACAAAGATCCTTTGCTCACGTACAGAACTTCCCTGAGGCTCAATAGCATGTTCTAACTTGACAGAAAACATACTCCATGCAAACGTTCTTACAATGAAAACATTTGCACATTTAAAAAA